CATATGAATTAAGATTTATTGACATCAGAAATTATATAGCGGGTGGACATTAGACCAATTCACTCAAGATTTCGGAAACAATAAATCACGTGTTAAATCCTTTTTCCCTTATCAATTTATCACGTGGGAAAATTACGAAGAAGAATTATATAAAGTGGAACCATTCACTCAAGATTCATTTTATTCAGCATTAACTCAAGAAACTATATCAGATAGTGATTATCAAATATATCTCAATGATGCTAAAAACTTTAAGAATAGATTAGAATATTTTATTCATTATTGCAATAAAGATGTTGAAATTATGATTGACCCAATTGATAAAATTATTGAAGAAACATTTGTTTATAAAATTGATATGCTTCATAATCTTTCTTTATCATCGAATGCTTCAATGATTCGTTACGCTTTAGTATATAAAGACTTTAATCATAATGAAAAATATCCTGAGGAAGAGATAGAATCAAGTTTTGAATTAACGAAAAAGTATTGGAAATATAAAATTGAATCATATAAGAAACAAGATGAAAAAGCAAAAAGGGATACTAAAAATAATGTTTCAATGGATGATTTTCAATACTATCACGATTTAATCCTTTCATCTAAATGCAAAATGTGTGGTAAAGCGTTTACATATGCAAATAAACCAACATTGGATAGAATCGATAATGAAAAACCACATACCAAAGAAAATTGTCAGTTAATGTGTTGTTATTGCAATGTCGTAAAATCAAATAAAGATGAAATGTTCAACGTTTAAGAATCAATTTAAGAAATTATGCATTAAAAAATAATTTACCAATGACTTTAGATTCAGTTGAAGCTTATCACATTCTCCGTAATGGAATTACTGGTGGTCTATCAAATGTTCAACATCGTGTTAATCTTAAAGAATCACACACATTAATAAACTTGCATATATATCCAGAAACTAAAACTGTATCAAATGAGGACACCACCAACATCATGATCATTTCGTTGGTGTTGATTTTTAATTCATTATATCCTTCATCATTTCATCTAATCCTCATGATGTTTCATTCAATATACTGACCATAAAATGTATATGCCGGGAAGATTGAATGGTGTTATCATTTGTGATACAGCAACAAAGAAAGCAAAAGCATTGGAATTTAGAAAAAAAAAATACTTTATTCGTGGCTGAAGTAAAGGGTCACATTGATGAAAAATACATTAATGATTACATAAACTTTTTACCGATAATAAGAAATTTAGATATTATCACAGATGAAAAAACAATTGGTAGTTTTATGTATAATTACATGAAATCAAACAATCTACCAGTTGACCAGAAACAGAGAAAATTAACTCAGTTAGCATCAACACACAACCAATATCAACCATTTTCTTCTTATTATCTTTGGTGTCTAATAGACAGATTTCATTTTATCATTGATGATATTCAATCAATTTTAACATTTACTAAAAACACTTGTTTTAATGAATTTGCGAACAAATTTATGAACGAAAGACAAAAGGCTGAATTAGAAGGAAATAAAGGAAAAAGTTTATTTTGCAAGATTTCGCTTAATGGATCATATGGTTACGATGCAATGAATACACAAAATTACACAAAGACTAAAATAATGAATGCACAGAAGGCACGCGTTGCATGTATGTCAAATAAGTTTAAAAACATAAGAGAAATAGGTGAAGATACATATCAAATGATGCTCAAAGATAGATTTTATAGATGTGAAACATGTTTACAAGAGGCATTCTTCACTTTAGATAATGCTAAATACTGGTATTTGGTTTTCATTTATGATTTTATGTATAAATGCATGGATGTTAATCGTTTTCATTTCATTGAAGGTGATACTGATTCATCTTATTGGGCAATCGCTGGCGACCCAAATCTTCCTAACACTCAAGCATTTCAAGCAATTGTAACCGATAAACAATTTTATGATAAAAACATTTTCAAATTCGCACCATTTGATTTCTTCTGTTTTGATGAGAAATTTAAACCTAAATTAAAGAATAAAGCCGAAGAAAAAGCACATGAGAAGAAGTTATTGGGTTTAGCAATTGAGAAACAAGGTGATAACATGGTTGCTTTATGCCCTAAGTGTTATACATCATTCAACGGTTCAATTGATGGAAGTGATTTTAAAAAGATTGCACAAAAAATGAAAGGTGTTAGTTTACGACAAAATAAACGATTAACACCTAAAAATTATTTGGATATAATAAATGATAAAGTGATATTTGATGGTCAGAATATTAATTTACAACTTAAAAACAGGTCGATGACTCGCTTAACAATCGGTAAGACTGCATTAACAGGAGCACACACTAAGGCTGTATGTTGTGAAAATGGATGTTGTATGCCATTTATTTGATACATTAATGAGGTGATTCAATATGTAAATAATGCTTTTGATTCTTGATCAAAGAGGTGGGCACCCTTAAACATTTATTTTATTTTTATATAAATGGATACCATAAATTTAAAAATTTTAATTGATGATTTAGTATTTAATCAAAACTTTCTTAGTTATTATGAATTAAAAGCATATCTCCAAAAACATAATAACAATATAACGGGTGATGATATGGATTATTATTATCCGTATTATAAAAATGAAATTTTGAAATATCATGATAAAATAATTTCTAAAATTAAAGACAAAATTAAAAATAATGAATATGTAAAGGGAAAAACTAAATCACAACTTAAACAGTTGAAAGATTTCAAAAATAAAGTATTAACAGAAGAAGATATTGATGAATTATATAAATTATATAATCCTGAGCCGCAAAAATCAAGGGAACAAAAACAAAAAGCGCAAAACACCCAGGTCCTTCAGACCATAAATGAAGCACAAGCTTTAATTTATGATTCATTAGTTAAACCATGTTCAACCCAAGTTTTAAATGAAGATCAACTTTTGGAATTCATCCTTCAACATAAACTCGAAGCGGGAAAGTATATCAAACCTTTATATACAGTATATTTAAAACAAATGAATAAAATACATCCAGAATTAATGAAAGGAGGAATGAAATCCAAAACTTCATCATCCAAAATCAAAGCAGATAAAATTAAATCACTTACAATACCAAAACCTCCTTCAGTTAATCCTTCATCATTCACTTTATTATATCCATTTCAAACATTAAAGAAGCAAAAAGATTTTAAAAAGGATTTCAAGATATTAAATAAACCAATTGACCCAAAAATTCAACCGTTAAAGGAAAAATTTAGTCGCCCCTCATTTGCACCATATCCATATTCATACGAAATCGATCATTTAGAATATTCAAAAGGAAAAGTTACTTATTTATTTGCCATTAACATTAACACTAGATATTTATATTGCATTCCAGTGAAAGGGAAAACAGAACAGGAAACAAGAAGAGCTATTCAATACTTACTAGATCATGAAAGGGTGGATAATATCAGGGGTGATGGTGATAAAGGATTTCAGGCAGCTATGGCTCATTATTTCCCACAAATTAATTTTTACTTCTCATCTTCTCCATATACGTTTCATAATAAAATAGTTGATGCGGTAATGAGAACTCTTAGAGATGCGTTAGTGGTTAACGGTCAGATATACTGGGATGGAAATCATGACTCCATCATACAGCAGTTAGTATATTATTACAATAATACATGGCATAGAACTATAAACATGAAACCAGTGGAAATGAAAAATGATATTTCAAAAGAATGGGAATATATTAGAAAACAAATGGAAAGGTTGAATGATGTTAAACGTGAACAAATTAATTCGGGGCTCATGAATTTTAAACAAGGGGATAAAGTTTTGATTCATCTCGATTATGGAAAAACTGATAAATCAATGACAAAAAGAAGACGAAGATTTGACACAATTGCTGAATTTGTTAGATATATTAACGGCAATGCATTAGTTGAAGTTGACAATAAATTAATAGAAATTCCGATTTATTTTATTACTCCATTATATTTAAATAATATTTAATTTTTTTTATTTCGTAAGAAATGAGTGACAATGAAGCATCCAACAGTCCTGGCGATGAATATAAAAAGAAACTAAACAGCATTAAATCAAAAATAAGCTATTACAAAAAGAAGCTGCAATGTGGTGGGGCTGAAAACGATAAAGAGAGGAAAGAAATAATCGAAAAATTAAAAACTTACCGTTCAATCCTTAAACTGAGTGAAGCAAAAATAAAAGAATTTAATAGAATAAATAAATTGATTGGAAGAGATGAATTTAATAAAGATGAATTTTTAAACTCAATCCAAATTTAATTTTTATTCCTCTTCCCGAACCCTTCTGGGTTTGTTGTTTTTAATTCGTTCTTGCATCATTTTTATCATTTCCTCCCTTGTTATGATTCGTGGTAAATTTTGAGCTTGTGGGGTATCCATTTATATAAAAATTAAATTTTGTTATCAGTTATTTTATCATTAATGTTTTCAAGTTCTTCAATAATTAATTATTTTTGAAGAACTGAAGGGGTCACCGGGTCACCAGGTCACCAGGTTACATTAACTTTTCCGAAAAAATGAGACAACATGACATTTTGACAACAACATAGGGAGAGGTACTTATGAAGCATTATTGAAGAACTGAAAACATTAATGAGGAAGGTATTTATTAATTATTTTTGAAGAACTGAAGGGGTCACCGGGTCACCAGGTCACCAGGTTACATTAACTTTTCCGAAAAAAATGAGACAACATGACATTTTGACAACAACATAGGGAGAGGTACTTATGAAGCATTATTGAAGAACTGAAAACATTAATGAGGAAGGTATTTATTAATTATTTTTGAAGAACTGAAGGGGTCACCGGGTCACCAGGTCACCAGGTTACATTAACTTTTCCGAAAAAATGAGACAACATGACATTTTGACAACAACATAGTGGGATTAATGCAAAAATAAATTCAAATCATACTTTATAAAGCTTCATTTATAGGTATTTCATCGTCAGTAAATGAATCCTCATTATCGTTTGGTTCAACCTGTTTATATAATCATTTCATTTCTTTTTTCAAAACATAATACCATGTCTGTTTACCATCTATTTTTCTTTGTTTCCTATCACATTTATCCTTAATACTCATTTGGAAATTCTTGTCTTTCATGTCTGATGGTTTGCAGAATAGCGCATTTTTACACTTCATACCTGCACACAATTCATCATAATGTGTATTTATCCATACATCTAAAGGATTTGTTGATAATTCAATTAAATCTTGTTTGGCTTCAGTCATCGGAATGATTCGTACATTAAATGATGAAAGGTCATATTGCATAAAATACGTCAGTAAATTATCATAAAATTCCTTTGTGCATGAATTCATCAAATTCTTGAAGTAATCAAATTGACCCTTAAATTTACCATTAACTCTTAAAACTACATATCTTCTGTCTCCAACTTCAATTTTGACAGGGTAAACGTTGTTAGTTACGAAAATGAAATTGGCAACGTTTTGTGCTGTTCTTCTGGGTTGATTCTTTTCATTAATTCTAATCTCATTATCCGTAATAATTGATTTCAAAGCGTTGAAGTTTGCGAGTCTGTCTTCACCTACATTCTTCAGTTCATTAAGTACAAGAAACATTTTATTCTCAACTACTGAATTGAAATTACCCGTTAGCTCACCTATTTCGGTAATGTTTTTGCATGAATAACCAGCGAGAAGTTCAGAAATAATGTCAGTGAATCTGTTTTTACCTATTCCCTGAAGTCCTTTCAAAATAATTGCTGTTTCATTCTTGATTCCAGGATGTTGAATCATTGATGCAATCCAGCCGAGTAGGTATTTATACACTTCATCGTTATTATCACAAATGGCTTCTTTAATGAAATTCATAAACATCTCAATTTTTGAGTAATCAAGCTTTTCGAGAATGTTGTATTTATAACCTTGAAACGTTGAGAAAACATCGGGGGAATCAGATTTAAAGCAAACACCCTTAACAGTTAATGAAGACAATTGATTTAGTAGTACGTCCCATGCTGTTATTGTTTTACCTTCTTCTTTAAATAATTTAATCATTTTAAGTGACTCTTTCATGTTTGATTGAAGAACGAATGATATTTGATTCATTTTATCGTGTATGTTGTAATCTTTCTGAATGAAATATTTGTTTCCACAATCTACAAAACGGATTACACGTGATAAATCCTCAATTACTTCAGAACTGTTTTTATACTGATGATTTTCAGCCTTGCGTCTAATATCTGTTATCAAAAACGAGTCATCAAGTTTGATGTCAAATGTTATTTTTGGCTTACGTAATAAAGGTAAAACATATTCATCATAATATTCCTTTTGATATAGTTTTAGAATCTTCACCAAAACAAATGGAGAAGTCATTAAATGTGCATATCTATTACGTGCTTTTTCAAAATTACTTTTTGCATTTTCTGTTAAACTGCAGAAGTTATAAACGTTATCGTATGCTTCATTAATCAAATGATTGGGTAATGAATTAATAGCTTGAAACAGTGTGAATAATGTAACTTCTTTTTCTAAATTCATGTTTCCACCGTCATTATGTACTTCAAAATCACAGATACCATCAACTATGCTCTGGGCAAGTTTATCGTCAATGTTTACATCTTTGTTTTCATTCATTATACTCTTTATTTCTTCGTTCTTCTGTTCAACTCTTACCTTAATATTCAAATCATTTAATATATCATTCACTGTTCTAGTTAATGATGAATCATAACTTCCACGAATGAATGAGTATGTACTGATTGGTTCTGTTGCATTCTTTCGAACTCTTGAATCAGCCATAACTACTAATGAACGTTTTGAATCATCAATAGAAGTCATGATATCGATATCATAATCATTGCAGGAATAACATTTAATCATTCTGTTCGAAACTGCATAGAAGAAATTAGTGTTGCAATAAATGTGAAGACCTCCAGAAGCGGTTTTAACAATAACATCTTTATCCGAAAGTTTTGATAAAATGTCTTTTCTGACCGTTTCTTTAAGTTCATCATTGTACGATTTATTGATATCAACATCTATAATCGTTAAATTTGAAATTTTATTTACTAATAAAGCCATACCAGTTTTCCTTCCTCTTCCTCCATCGTGTTTGAGGTAGTTATGTAAATCAACCTTGTTTTCACCAATTCTTTCGTTGAGGGTTTTAGTTTCTGCCACAACTAATTCCTCAGCTAATTCCTCAACTAATGAATCAATAACTTTTTCATCAGAAACGATAAAGTTGCGGCTGTCGTTTGTTGCTGTCATTTATATAGGAATAAAAAAATAAATATAATTTTAAAACTAACTTTATTTTTGGACTGCATCATATTTCCGGCACTGTTGTCAAAATGTCATGTTGTCTCATTTTTTCGGAAAAGTTAATGTAACCTGGTGACCTGGTGACCCGGTGACCCCTTCAGTTCTTCAAAAATAATTAATTATTGAAGAACTTGAAAACATTAATGAGGAAGGTACTTATGAAGCATTATTGAAGAACCCATGTTGTTGTCAAAATGTCATGTTGTCTCATTTTTTCGGAAAAGTTAATGTAACCTGGTGACCTGGTGACCCGGTGACCCGGTGACCTGGTAGCAGTGAAATAAAATTTTGTTATCAGTTATTTTATCATCATTTTATTAAGTTCATCTTTAGTTAATAATTTGAATGGATTCGCTAATGTTCCACCTTGAGTCACAACACTTGCCCCGGCTAATTGTGAAGAACCTGGGATAAGTACTCCATGAAATGATTTCATTGGTATCATTAATTTAGAAATAGTTGGCTTAATTAATTTTGTCATTTATGATAAAAATAAAATGTTAAATTATGCCGTTCACTCTTTTAGAGCTCAGGACTTTCAGTCCGTTCTAAAGTTTGTTTTACAAACATTGAGCGTTCATTGAATTCTATACCATGCGTAAACTGTCATGTAAGGTGGCATGTATTCTTTACTTTGTCCCGTTGTTTGTGTATATCCTGAAACGAAATGTGTATGGTTTCCTTCTCCCTGAGTGTCACTCCAGTAACAATTTATAGCAAACTTAACGTCGTCTTTAACATCATATCCTTTACCTTTTGTCATTCCTGACCAATCCCAATATCTATGCTTATGCCAACCTGCTTGAGATGTGCTTAAATCTATGTAGTGACTGTGTGCAGGTAAATTTTCACCTGAAATTGTTTTACTTCCACCTGTTTCCTTTGAAGAGTTTGCACAATACAAAAACCTGTCGACTATTTGTTCCCATGCACCAACACCAAACATTACTTGAGGACCTCTTGCATCCATAGATGTATAAATAGAACCTACTGGGTTCATTAAATCAAACATATGAGATAATATAGGATTGTCTCTTTTGAACTTAAAATATAGTGCAACTATTTCAGGTTTCTTCTGGTTTGTGTCAGAATATTTTTTATAATATAATCTTATGTTTTCAGGGTAGGTAAAATCTTGACTATAATATTTATTTTTGTCATCTGTATAATAATATACTATTCTCGTTTTTTCTATTGCATTATATCTTTTATATCTATAATAATCTAAATATAATGTTAGCTTTTGTTCATCTACATGTGGTGTTCTGTCGTCATCTCCATAGTCATAATAATATGGTGCTGGAGCTGGGTCAGGTAATGTCATATCTGCCATTTCATAAACTCTTAAATATTTCTTTTGTTCGTCTCCATATAAGTTTAAGTAGCAGTTGTTGTCTAATGGAACTTTAACTTGTGTACCATCATTCTTTTTATAGCTTACATACATTTCATTGTTATTTTTCGGAATGAGTTTACACCGTGTACCATTTTTTAAGGAGTGTACAAACTGCCATCTAAAATATTTATTTTCTTCATCGACATAAAAGTCACCAACAATAGTTTCAATATTTTTAGTTGTTCCTATCAAACTTTGGTATATTTCGTTAACATATTCCTTATCTGCTTTCTTCTCTAACTCATCATTAACATATTCCTTATCTGCTTTAAGGTCTAAACATCCTGAAACCCATCCTGTATCAGCTTTAGTTTTAAAAATCTTTGATGTCCATTCATGATACCATTCAACCCTTTCTTTAATTTCATTATCTTTTTCATTAACATATTCCTTATCTGCCTTCTTCATTAATTCACTAGCCACATGTTCCTTATCTGCTTTCTTCATGAATTCACCATTAACATATGTTTTATCTGCTTTCTTCATTAATTCACCATTAACATATTCCTTATCTGCCTTCTTCATTAATTCACTAGCCACATATTCCTTATCTGCTTTCTTCATTAATTCACCATTTACATATTCCTTATCTGCCTTCTTCATTATGTCATTAAGGAAACCTTTTATGAATTCCTCATTTAAATTAAATCTTCCAATCTTCAAAACTTTAGGAAATGCATTTAATGCGTAATATCTTTGTTCTTCTGGTGGAATTGATGTTATATCATCCGTTATCCCTTTAATTTTTGAATTCATAAATAAAATTTCTTTTATATTTGATATCACTGCACCACCTTTGCAAACGAATTCGAAACGCTCATTTTTCAATACTATCTCCAAATCTCCATATTTCAACCTTTGTGTTTGTTCTGCCGTCTTTGAATTATATGCATATATGGCATATGTAATGGTTTGAAGGACCTGGGCGCTTTGTGCCTTAAGTTGCTGTGGTTGCTGTTGTTTAATCATTTATTACGATTTAAAAATAAATATTTAATCCGTTATCTCATCGGCTATTTTTTCTATTTGAAATTGCCATAATATTTCATTCATAAATTCTAAATCACAATCAAATAGGTCAGTTATTCTAAATTTAATATTTGATAAATCTTTTGAATGAAGAATAAATGAATTCCCGGATAATTGAAACGGATATGATAAAGAAAATGTGTTTAAGTTGATGGATAAAATGTTTTGTATTGATGGGTAAGAGTTAGGGTCTAATGTTTGATGTGAAAATCTCATTGGGGTATTAACTTTATCACATTTGATTAAAATGAAATTGGAACCGGTGTCAGAATACAAAACATCCCCAACATCTTTTTCAAAAATTTAATATCCCAACAATGAAGGAAGATGAGGAGAACAAAATTTAATTTTCAGCGGAAATTTAATAAGGTTATTTATTTCATCAAGTTCAAAAAGTTTATAAGGTTTTGATTTAAAATTTTCTTCATACCATATGATAAATGATTCATTTAAATAACTTAAAATCATGTTAATATCCATTTCGCTATCACATTATTTATATACATATCATACGTTTTTTTCATGGTCATCTTAATAAATGATATATAATGAAGGGTCTAAAAGAATGGGATTAAAATTTACCACTCACAGAAACGAGAGTAACATTATAAATTCCGCTAACTGTTAAATTTAATTCACAGTTATTATTCGAAATAATATTGATAATTGACATTTTTATTACGATTAAAAATATGGTAAAGCGTTATTTTCCTCAGTGATAAATAAAACTAGAATAAGATTACCTCAAGAATTCATAAATTCAACGAATAAGAAATTCATTCATGTTATAAATTTTTAGTGTTTTTCAGAAAAATATGAGTCGGTGTCATATTCATCAACAGGTTATATTTCACTTCATTCAAATTTAGTTCAATCAAACCGACACATAATGACCATTTCATAAGATTTTTCAGATGGTATTAAAAATGCAATTGATAGATTAAAATATGAACAGATTGACAATATCGAATTTTTGGAATTTTGGTTTAAATATCCCGATGGAAAAAAGATTGAAGTTAAAGATAAAAGCTGATACTATAACAAAAACAATTACAATGACCGATCCGGATAGTGGGGAACAAAAAGAAAAAAAACAAACGATAGAAACTGGTGAAAGGTCAATTATTATTGATTATGAATTCAAAGGATTATTATTCGATATATGTTAATGCTTGAATATTAAATAGCCTTAACAAAGAATTTTTTAAGTGATATTTTATATTCATCAACTATTTTATTATAAATATCATTATATGTTAAATGAAGTTCGGTTGTTGTTCCGTTCTTTGATATCTTAATTGTGCTAATATCCTTTATAGGATTTATTTTTGCAACTGTTCCGCAGCATGAAACCTCATCATCTATGAAAAATTGAATCTTAACGTCTGAATCTTGAACATCACAAAGAATGGCGATAATGTGAATTAATGATTCATAAGGTAAATAATTAAACCGGATTGATCAATTAAATTTATTATTGAATCATAATTATTAATTATATATCACGGTAATTTTCATTAATTCAGAATTAATGTCTATTTTATATGGGTTCTCGATGTTTGATGAAAGAGGCGGGGGTATGTTGGATAAGTGGGAATTTCAACGGGTTCTTTACCAGGTTCAGATAAAATGGTTGGGTCTTCATTCTCATGGTTTTCTTCATTCTCCTCCTCCTTTTTCGGTAAGTCACGAGTTAATAAATTTGGTTGAGTTGCTGACCTTGTTAATTCGGGGCTAACATTAACTTTAACATTTTGAATAATTCGTGATTTATCATCATTTACGTTATAACCAACCGTAATCTCTGCTTTTGCGTTAGTGTTCTTTTGACAAGTGAAACGTCTTCTCATTTATAATCGAATAAAAAATATATTTAAACTTTTATTTTGCTGGAACTTTTGAATCTAATTATTCCCTGTATTTGTTCATGAAGTTGATTTTAGCTGTTTCATTGTAATTAATAGACCTAATATATTCATTAATTGCATTCTTATAATCATCTGATTCTCAAATTTTCTTTTATCTGATTCCTTAACTAAATCATAAGTTAAACCTCGCTGCTGATATAATGGTTTCTTAATTAAATCTTTGAATGCTTGAGATAAAGCACCTGATGCAATTCTTGCTACTATAATTGGTTGGAATTGCTGTTTAAGTTCATCTTTAACATTTGCGAATACTGGATCGAATAAAGCAACTTTAAAGAATTTCTTAGCTGAAATTTCAGGTCTAATATTTGCATATTGACCATCAAACTGGTAGAATATCGTTTGGTAGTCCATTCGGTCCCTCTTCATAGCATTTAATTCTTTATTGAAATAAGAATATGGATTACTACGGTATGAATTAATTGGACCATTTTCACCTTCTCCAATGTATTGTTTAACAGCTTTCCATTTTCATCAAATTGAATAGGATAACGTTCATTATATGCTTTTACGTTTAGGATAATCAGTTATAGTTAATTTATAACCATTTATGACTTTAATATTACCTTGACCATCAGTAAACGAAAAACTTC